GGCCATACCACCACGTAGGGGCAGACCGGGCTGCCTCTACTTTGCACAGCTAGAGCATCTGAGCCTGGAGCGGCTCCAAGAACTCTACCACATCGACAAACTCCTCTACATGAGAGGAGTAGTCATCGAAGCCTGGCAAAGAAAAACGGGACCATCACAATGCCACCGTTGCCAGGCTTTCGGACATGCCTCAGTAAACTGCTTCAGGCCAGTGAAATGCGTTCGCTGTGCTGGTGAGCATATTGCCAGCCTTTGCCCAAGGGGTAGAGAGGAGGAGCCAAAGTGCGCAAATTGCGCTAAGAACCATACGGCCAACGATCGCCACTGCCAGGTCCTGAGGAGGATTGCCAGGAAGCAGGAGATCGTTCTACCTGGGCTACTCCCGGAGAACCCTAAGAGGATCCCCCAGAGTCGCCCAAAGGCCGTCACCATACAGGAGGACGGGTAGGCCACCATCACCAGAGGGAAGGGTAGGCAACCAGCCCCCCCCCCACCCCCCTGCAGCACCAATAGAAACGGTGGGTCCCACAGACCAAAGGGCAACCACCGGGGCGACTCTCCGACCTCCTGCCAATGACGCCACTGAGAGGCAACCCTCCCAGAGGAAAAGGTGGAGGAATAGGAGCAGGAGAACGGAACAGCCTCCTCCTCAGGCTGTGACTACCTCTACCCCTACAACCACAGGACCAATAGCCTCGCAGGCGCAAGGTTGCTGCAAGAACACCAGCACCAACTACGACAGGTAGAGCGCCAGAAAGGGCTCTACCAGAAAGCAGAGCCCGCTCCACACACAGAGCGCGCTCTACCCAAAGGAAGACCTCAACCAATGCCCCGAGACCAGTGCCTTCACAGCGTAGTACAGAACGCAGACCACCAGCGTCCGACTTCGAGACGGATGATGCCATCCACAGATTGGTAGGCATAGCCATCGAAGTCGGTACTCAAGTCCTGGCCGACATAAGGGCCGGGACAGACCCCGTTACCGCCGTCATGAAGGCACTGGCATCACTACTGGCAAAGCACTACGTAGGATAGTAACCTGCGTCTGCTTTACTGGAACCCGGACGGGATTCGTCAAAGGATCCACGAACTCCGCACTGTCACCCAGCAACAGGACATCCAGGTGATCTTGCTGGGTGAAACCAAATTACGACCTACAACGCATCTTAAGCTGCCTAACTACACCATCTATAGGAGGGACGAGGTCGATCCTCAAGTGGTCGCTTATAGAGGGACAGCGATCCTGGTGAGGAGAGACATCGTCCACCAGGAGCTGGACCTGCCAGACTTCCAGACGATGCGTTCAATCGGCATAAAAATGGAGGCGGCGGGCGAGGAACTAAGGATCTTTGCAGCATACCGCCCGCCAGGGACTCCATTTCACTCCTCAGACATCCGGACGGTAATGGAAGGTACGGCACCCACCATCATCGCCGGGGACCTGAACGCCAAACACCCGGCGTGGGGGTCCAGAGTGATCACCCCGCCGGGTCGTGAACTCTATGAAGATGCTGAAAACCATGATTATGACGTTCTAGGTCCCGAGGAACCGACGCACATCCCTAGCGACCCTAGGAAGCGTCCGGATGTATTAGACATCGTGCTCACTAGGAACGTCAACTACCCAGTAGTGGTAGAAGTGCTGTATGACTTGAATACACAGCACCTCCCGATTCTGATAACCCCTTGGCACTAAGGCAGTGACTTCACCGCCCAGAGCCGTCAAGACCAAGATCGACTGGAGGCTCTACCACCAACACCTGCAGGAGAGACCTCCAGTCCATACACAGATCAACTCAGCGGACGACGTAGAGGCCGCTGCAACTAGAATATCCACGTGCATCCAGGAGGCCCTCAACGCGGCCTCTACGATCGTCCCTCTCACGGGGAGAAAAGAAGAGCTGCCGCTAGGACTACGCGTGCAGCTCAACCATAAAAGAGCGCTGAGAAAGCTCTGGGCGCGTACTCGCTGCCCTAGAGTAAAAAGGAAACTTAACACCTTGTCAGACGAACTGTCGGTTGCAATACAGGCCCACAGAGGAGAGGCCTGGGAGCGGCGCATATGGAAGGCTGACGAACAGCACGCGTCGCTCTACACATTGAACCGGCAGTTAACGAAAACTCGACCACCTGTTTGCCCGCTGACCAACAACGCGGGCATTCAACGTTACGATGCCAAGGGCAGAGCGGATATCCTAGCTGAGCACTTCGAGGAGCAGTTTATGCCGAAACCCAGCAAGTGCGGAGTTCCTGGAAACCCATACACGGAAAGAGAGCCGCGTGCAGGAGCTCCTGTCGTCGCCCGCGCCACCGCTTGCAGGAGAGTGGTTTATCTCCCCCGCCGAACTGCGGAGGACAGTAACCCGCCTGCAACCGAGGAAGGCGCCGGGGCACGACGGGATTACCAACGCTGCACTACGACAGCTGCCCAATAGAGTCCTTGTAGAGATAGGTCGGCTCTACAAAGGAATATTGCGGACATCCCACTTCCCGGAGGACTGGAAGAAAGGTAAAGTCATCGTCTTGCCGAAACCCGGGAAGGACAGGCGTAGAGCTGCCAACTACAGGCCGATCACGCTGCTACCGCATATAGCTAAACTGTGCGAAAGATTACTGTTGAGACGTCTCCGCCCGTGCATCCAACTTCGGGCGGAGCAACATGGATTCAGGAGGGGTCACTCCACAGCAACACAGCTGACCAGAGTGCTGCACCTGCTTGCGGCCGAACACAACCGTGGCCGCATATCGTTGGGCGTCTTTCTCGATATCGAGAAGGCGTTCGACCGGGTGTGGCACACAGGATTACTCTATAAGTTAGACGAACAAACAAGTATCCCTCCTGCTATATTGCGGCTAGTGGCGTCTTTCCTGGAAGGCAGGAAGTTCTACGTCTGCGTAGAGGACGCCGAGTCCGCAATAAAAACCATAACAGCTGGACTGTCTGCAGCCCTGTATGCGGCGTACACTAATGACATTCCTACTCTGGCAGGACACTTGCACGCTTGGGAGGACGACGTCGAACTAGTGCTTTTTGCGGACGACAGCGCATACTTCACGTCGTCCAGAAGAGCCCACATCGCAGCTGCCAGGATGCAACGTCTGCTGGACCTGCTGCCACCATGGTTGGATGAGTGGATGATGGCCGTCAATGTTAGCAAGACGAGCGCTCTACTCACTCGCCGCTATAGAAACTTACCACCACCGCTAACCCTCGGAGGCCAGGAGATCGCATATGAGAAGGCCGTGACCTACCTTGGATGTCGGATTGACAGGATGTTGCGTATGACTGCGCACGTCGACTCTGCTATACGCAAAGCTCGATGTGCGCGGGCAATGCTCCGCCCTGTCCTGACATCCAAGTTACCGACAAAGTCGAAGTTAACCATCTATAAAATCTACATAAGACCCCTGCTAACATACGCTGCTCCGGCCTGGTATGCACTCCTGAGCGATCATCAGAAGCGGCGACTTCAGGCCCAGCAGAGTTTGTCATTACGAACTATAGTCGGTGCGGGTCGCTACGTCCGAAATGACGTCATAGCGGCCAACCTAAAGATAGAGAGCCTGCAAGAATTCGTGGTCCGGCTGGCGCGCGGTATGTTCGACCGCGCCGACAACGGGCCACACGAACACCTCAACGGCTTCGCGCCGTTGCACTCACGGCCGCCGGACGGGCGACCCTATCCAAGAGAACTCCTCCCTATATAGATTAGGGAGTCGAGTAAACTCCACAATGCCGCAGAAAGGCCAACTTTGACATAATAATTGTGTTAAACACAATTATTTAGATAACCACCCTTTATTATAACTTAACCGACCGCGACAAAAGTCGCCAAAACAACGCCTTCACCATCAAGGCGCCCAGGACCGGCACACTGTAGTGTGCCGTGAGGAACATCCGGGTAAAGGGGTATACCCCGAGGCCCGAGACCTTCACGGCACTATGCCCTGCAGAGGACAACAACGACGACACTCCTTGGCAGAAAGGGACGCGCCATTTAGCAACGAGACCTTTATACGTGTAAAAGCGCAAGTCCTCCTTGCTCCGTCGCTCGATTGTTAACATACAAATTTGATCCGTAAATATAAGCCGTGAAAGACTGTTATCCCATAAGTTAATTTTATTATTGAACTATTAATATTATAATACCGTATCAGTTTACTATCGTTCGCTTCTCCTTCTTATTTTAATAATTGTGTGTGTTGTATATCGATCGTAATAAACTAAATTATTCGGAATCTGTGAACATTATTTAAATTACCTAATAGTTATACGAACATTACATCTTACATTACTACACGTGGAATTCCAGCGTGTGGGGACTTCTTGTAAAAAACTCTTTGGCACGCAATTCGGCACATTGGCAGTCTGTGCCTTTAAAAGTTTCTCCAGCGCTGTGGTGCTGGTTTTGAAAAACCGTACTATTTTTTTACCTTGTCAAGTGATTGTGCGCAAGCCGCTGACCGCATGGTATCTTGAACGATTAAGTTTAACGTATGCGCATAACACCCGTAGTGTTTCCATTTCAAGTTCACCACAGAACATTTTGAACATTGGCTGCATTGTCCGTGACCATAAAATTAATTTTATCTTTTATTGACCACTGCTCCGTCAATTCTTGCAAAGCACGCTGAATGTTTTCAGCAGTTTGGGCATTTTCAAAATGGCAACAATCAAGCAAAACTGTTTTCAGGACAATGCCCTCCGTTAAATAATGACCCGAAACTGCCAAGTACGAGTCATTTATTCTTGATGTCCACAAATCAGCCGTCAAGCAAATCTTTTCTACATTTGAGGACATTAGTTATTTTTTATTTTTTCCTTTGTGTCATTGTAGAGATTCGATATCATAGTGTGAGATATGGTTTTTCGACTTGGAAGCTGATATCCCGGGATCCAGCTCGTAAATTTTTTAAAAGATTTTTCTTCCACTAGCGAAAATGTCTGATAACTATATATAAATAAATTCAAAAGATCGCCGTCGATTTTTCGTTTGAGTTCACCTGATATTTTTTTTGGCAGTACCATACCTCTCCATGGTGTACTGTTTCTGTATCTGGTGCCTTACAATAGAAGTCGACGACATTGCAGTTTTGGGAGTGAAGGTAGAAGTGGACGGTTCCCCTGTGGTACAGATCGCTGCTGCTGTAGTGGTAGATGTTGCTACCACCGAGACAGGCAGTGCAGTAGGAACCGCTTGGGGTGCTGACTTTGCTAGCTGAGCAGTAATGACCCGAGTGTATGCATCCAAGTGCCTCTTCTTCAAGTGGGTTTTTAAATTTCCCGTGGATCCCTTGTACAGGTCACCACATACTCGACATTTTGCCTTTTTATCGACGTCATTAATTTTTTCAAAATAGTCCCAGATGACGCTTACATTGATTTCGAGACATTTTAATATTATACACAATATGTTTATGCCCATAACACAACACAATATACTCCACAAGTTTTCTTATTTGTTTACAACACTAGATTCCAAATTCAAATACTTATATAGTTCAATTAAAATAGTAGGTATCACAGTTTTTATTTACATCACAAATTGTATTTAAAGGGATAAAACGCGCAACTTTCTCCTTCCACTAAAAATAAATTTAATTTCCAAATCAGAGACCAAAGTAAAGTCATAAAAAGGCAAAATGTCGAGTATGTGGTGACAGGTATTATTGACCTGTCACCATATATACTCGACATTTTGCCTTTTTAACGACGTCATTATTTCTTTCAACATAGTCCCAGATGACGCTTACATTGATTCGAGACATTTTTTTTATAATATACAAAATGTGTTATGTTAGCCCTCTCTTTTCTTATTTATTTGCAACACTAGATTCTAAATTCAAATATGTGGTTCAATTAAAATAGTAGATATTTACCTTTGATTATACAGGTATATAATCAAAGGTATTTACAGTGTATTATTTATTTACATCACAAATTGTATTTAAGAGGATAAAACGCGCAACTTTCTCCTTCCACTACATTTATTCTGGCAGATCTGTTAGAACTAAATATAAATTCAAAATAATAATATATTATATAATATGCACTCGATTTTAGGCTTTTAAAAACAAAAACAATATCATTTGAAATTTATAATTACTAGGCAACATGCCTTAAACTTTAAGTTTAAGTCATAACTACCTATAAGATTAAAGTTAGTAAACTTTGTAACGTAACGATGTCATAAAAATAGTTTGTAAAGTTATGATTGGTTATTTTGTACGCGACTATAAAAGATATATACATAATATTATAGAAAAATATATAATATATAATAAAATATATAATATTATAAGAAGGAATTTCCGTACTACTTCTACTACTGTATTATTCTTCTCGATCGGACGTATCTAAATAAAGATGGTTAAATAAGTCAAAATATTTTAACTGTTAAAATAAACAGTAAATAAATTGGCAAATTTATTAAATAAATAAAATTAAAAATAATTAATAAAATTATCATATTCCAAACCATTCAAAATCTAAGATTCAAAATCATCCACGATCGATTTCTTACTTCGTTCCATTGAAATCTCTGTCTACTGTCTACATGTAGATATTATGACGTAGGCAGAGATTTTAGACTATACTCGTATAAGGTAGTCCAGATGTAACGCTATTACTGAATTTATTAGTGGTTGAGGTCAATTTTATGTATACGATTTTGGCTCAAATATTGGTTGATAGTAATTTACACAAAGCGCGTCAGTTTAATATTATTTTGTTTAGTTTACATTTTCATCAATATTGCAAGGGATTTACATAAAAGTTGTAAAAAACTAGTTAAGTTAATTAAGATTAAGTGAAATTGTTTTTTTTTTATAATTTAGTGTAGTGTACAAATATAAGATTTTAAACTTAGACTTTCATTTTCCACCACGTTTAATCTAAAACCAATATTGCTCGCGCTCTGTCGCACACGGCGAATCTAGTCGCTGCGGTACGCAAATATCTGATGTTTAATATATAGTTATCCAACGAATCTAGCGACCGACCGATGCTGCAGGTATCGCGGCGGTACGCAAATATCTGATTTTGTATAATATATAGTTTTCGAACGAATCTAGTCACCGACCGATGCGAAACGATATGGGCACCGCGGCGTTACGCAAATATCAGATTTTCTAGTATATAGTTTTGGAACGAACCAGTAAGCGGTTTTTAGATATTGTACCAATATATAGATTTTGTATCAGTATACGGTTTTGCATCGCACACCTCTAATATAAGGCCGGTCTAAAAACATATTATATAGTGCCACCAACTATACTATTCAGTTAACAGAGTCGCTAGTGTAGAGCTTGCTACTGCCACTTAATAAATTTACCGAGGTAGTAGATCATTACATAGGTATATATTTATTTACACTGACTTTATATACTATATATATATATTATATAGTATACTGATACATATAGTATACTTGACTGCCTCGTTGGTCTAGTGGTTGTAGTAGTGCGACTGCTGATCATGAGGTCCTGGGTTCGAATCCCGGGTCGGTTCAAAGAATCAATTATTGGGTTTTTCTGTCAAGAAATCCTCAGTAGCTGCCCGGAGTCAGGAAGTTGGCGGTGTCTCACCCCCGTGCCTCGGAAAGCACGTAAAGCCGTTGGTCCTGCGCCTGATCTCTCTCTGGTCATGTCGGTTTACCGTCCCATTGGATTATGAGAGTGAGGGAATAGAGAGTGCACCTGTGCTTGGGCATACACTTGGGCACTATAATCCTATCCTGCGCCGATGGCTAGCCTCCGTTGAGGCAGAAATTCGGTCTGGAGGACATTATTATGTATTTATTTGCACTTTACACAATAAGAGCCGTGGTAGCTCAGATGGTTAACGCTTGCTGTAAATATAACGCGAATGCGAGTAACCCGGGTTCGATCCCCGCCGGCACCAATGAAATTGTTAAATGCAATTTTAAGTGCTGATTTACCACGTGCTCGGCGGTGAAGGAAAACATCGTGAGGAAACCTGCATGTCTGAGGAATAAGAAAAAAATATTTCGAAGACATGTGAAGTTCCCCAACACGCATTGGGGCAGCGCGGCGGACACTTCCTTGCCCTAAAACCCTCTCAGAAATGAGGGGAGGCCTGTGCCCAGCAGTGGGACGTATATAGGCTGTAACTTTTTACACAATGAAATCAAACAAAACACACTTTTTACAATGAAATCAAACAATGCACTTTCCTCACAGCACGGAATGAATAGGTATGTATAGTGATCTAGGCAATATTTTACCGAAAAAAATTGTAGATCTTTTTCAAGAAATCGAAGAAGTGGGAATAATTCCACTTATGCGAAGCCGCTAGTATTAAAATAAGAAGAGACAAAAACCGTAAATTACATGAATTTAAATTTTTTTAGGGAATGTATTCTCCAGCTAGCGATGTCTGGTCATTTGGCGTCACTGTATGGGAAGTACTTACTTACTGCGCTGCAAAGCCTTTCGAAGAAATGGATGATGAACAAGTAAGTTTTTTGTTTTAATTTAGCGACATTATCGTTTCAGATTTGGACGCAGTTAAGCATTAGCTTGAACAATAAAATGACAATATAACCACCATAATAAGCACGAAGTAACGCGTCATTATTTGCAAATTCTTTTATTTTATTGCCCGACATAATTGATGCCTGGTACATGGCACTAGTGCCATTTATTATCGAGTAACAGAACTATGCCTTCTAGAGAATTCAATAAAACTTTCTAACGCCTAGTCGGTCGGGACCGGTATGAGCTGGAATATTCTAGATGTTTCAGTGGAAAAGGCCCTATATAAGGCCAGGAAGGGCCGCGACCGAGTGAGTATTGAATTGGCTATACAAGCGAATACTTCAGAGCGATTTAACTGCGAATTGAGTTTTATTATTGTGTATTTTAAGTTGTAATTGGTGCTCGATAATTAAAGTGTCATTCAATCGGCAGTTTTTATTGTCACGAACCCCAAGCTCGTAACAAAATGTCTTAAATTTTTTGAGCTTAACTCGAAATGGTTTAAAATTAATATAAAATATTAATTATCTTCCATTCACAACGGCAACGTATCATTGATTTTTTATTTGTAACTTAATAAATTGATTATACACTTATTGAAAAAAATCCTGTTTGTATCATTTTTACCAATTACTATCATCAACATAGAAAATCGCAAGTAGAGAGCATAGAGAATATTTTAAAAAATTATTGGAAAGGTTACTAAAAATCATTAAGAAAAATTTAATAAAATATTAACAATGAGTTTTCATGCAATTTTACAATTAAAACTAGTTTTTCCAAAATGTAAATTCAAACGCCAGTGACGTCATTGTATAGCTTTAGTAACGCCACCACGTGGTGAAATGGTTACGTTGTCAAAATTGAAAAAACTGTCATTGCATAATACAAGTTATATTATTATGTTTTGGTATGGCACATGGTGATCCGAATATAGAAAACAATAAATTATAGCATAATTGCAATTAGCTCACAACCTCAACGGATATAATGAGGTCATAACCCATGTCGGTTTTTTTTTTTCACGCAAAAATTTTACTTGTATTTTATTAAAAACTACTAAAAAAATTTAATGAACTTTTCTTCATTCTATTCTTTATACATAAATTTGTGGCATAAAAAATTCATGCAACTTCTCTATTATATTACTCATTGTTTGTCTCTATCCCCCTTTTTGCGATTAGTGTCTGTGCTTGTAAACCATTAGTGGGAACGACGAAGGCAAGCTGACGTCAAAAACTCCCAAAACTTCACAATGTGACGCATGAGCATGTTGAAGAAGATTTTTAATACTTGTCATTAGCAAAATTACAAACATAATTATTAAAAAGTTTTTATTATACTGTGGCGGCGCTGTCGTCGCTTACCACTGTGGCAGAGTTGGAAAAGAGGAGATCTCCCGCCGGGCGAGGTGTTCTGCCCGGGGAGCGACCAACACTCCGTGTGATAGTATATATATATTGTTAATCTAAAATTATTAAAAATTGTTAAAATAAATAAATATATAATAAATATAATGATTCGGAATTTTGATAGCGTGGTTTAGGCTTCGGTGTGTTTCGCTTGCGGCGCGACGACAGCGCCGCCACAATACAATTAGATAATTTTTTGAATTAAATTTTTCATAATTAGAATTAATGTCAACAGGTGGTAGCGAATGCCAGCGAATGGCGTCGCGGCGGACGCGGCGCTCGTGTCCCAGCGGCACCACCGCCGCGTTGCCGCCGCGAACTCTACGATCTCATGCACGAATGCTGGCGCCGCGAGCCGGAACAGCGGCCCCGATTCTACGATCTCCATCGCTTCCTAGAGCGCATGACCCACGGCTACAAACCACCTCCCATGCATTAAACAAAAAGTACCAGTAAACACGCGAGTAGGGATGCGAGCTACATATCGATACATCAACTTACTTTTTCTTTAAAATATTTTTATTACTCTGCATTACTATCAACAGCCCGTTGTTATATCGAAATAGGTTAACGATAATACATTTGCATTTCAATATACTTGCACGCCTGAGTTAATAAAGCTGATCTTTTAATCGATATAGCCTTGCATACCTATTCGCTTACATGGACTATGGATATATTATACACAGTTATGATATAATGCTTATTGGCCAGTACTAGTCAAAATCAACGAACTCGTCACGAGTTACATTGATTTAGTCGTAAGTTTAGCTTTAGTTGATTTTTCTCGAGTGGTGGCCTACTCTTGAAGTTGTTAAACGGCCAGTATTATTAACAGTATTACATATTAAGTAGTTGTGAATTGTATTCTTCACAACATTCCGTTTACTTGTTAATGCATTCATATCTAGTCATAACCCTCTTAAGCTTTAACAAGTATTCAGAAACAAGCATATCGGATAAGACATCTAAAAGATATCGATGTTTTTCAAGCACGGGTGATAAATTCTCTGAATAGTTTTTTTTAATTAGGTAGTCTTGAATGCGTGTGTGAGTTGCGAATTTAGGTAGATAGTCTTAAATTTAAGGATTGTGATGGCTATTCAGAGGTCAGCCCGATCCCAAATATTGATGGTACTCTCAACATTTTACTTTATACAGAATATATGTTGATAGAAACATCGATAATGCGTAAAGTTTCACGCTTCTCCCCAGCGTCCTCTGCTTAGCACTCCCACGATCTTCCACTATCAGCGCCGTATGGCATTCCTTTCACTAGAGACACTACTTCAACGCACGATAGAATGCTTTGATTCGCTGTTTCTCTGTGTTTAGTGCAATCATTCTAAGACAATGTGATAGAGATGCATTTCACTCGTTTGTTCAAGTAGTGCCCTACTAGTTTGTAAGTCGTTAACGTGTTGATTTTATCTCGTACGTATACTCGGAATGCTCTTCCTATACGTGATCTAAACTCAATACGCTGGCGTCCTACGGTCTATAGTATAACCAAAATCTAACTCCTATTTTTTTAACCTGTTTTAAATGTTAAGGTTGTATACTTTAAGAGGTTTAAATGCCTCTAGGGCAAACCTTGCCCCCTGTGCTTCTTGTTTTCTTCAATTAGGCACTTGGATAACTTCGGGTCACATGAAAGTCGATATTGATGTATACAGCGTATTTTATGAGAGAGATATTTTAGTAATGTGCTTCCGACCGACAGTCGGTCGTAGCGTAGGGCCCATTTTATCGTGTGATGCTTTTTAGCGTACGCTTGCGATCAATCCCTTCGGACGTGTGGCCCGAGAGTGGCGTATTAAAAAATACCGAATTACTTGTGTTTTAATCTAGACTATAAACTGATAAATAACTCTTGTGTAATAGTAAGTATGGATAAATTATACAATATACATTGGTGTTTAAATGTCACATAATTGGTGTCAAAGTTAATGTAAGATGAAAAATTAAAAATTCCCTTGATAACAGCCCCGAAGTCATCGGCAGATATCATTTGACTTAGTGTTACGTGAATGAATCACTCCTAGCGTTACAGTTATGTCACTATTACAAAACAACCCATAAGCACTTGAACAATCTAATAGTGCCTATAAGAACAAAGTGAAAAGATTCGTCGATGATAAGGGATGCTTGCTGTCTTTTCATTATCAATTAAGATATAAATTAAAGATAAAGTGTGTCCTTGTGTTAATATGAGCTAGCGGGGGGACTGGGAAGGTGTATAGTAAAAAAATCTGTAGGGATCGGTCTGCGTCAAAACATCAAATTCTATAAAGATTTTACACAAATAATCATAACAAATGCATAGACAGTAAATAAATAAAGCTTCTGATATCTAAGCAAATTCACGATTATATCTAGCTGATCTCCTACGAAACTCTCAAAGTATACGTGCAGATTTACGATGCTTTACATGTTATTCGTTGTCGCTTTTAATTTTTATTATAAATATATATATCACGATTATTACAGATAGGGTGAAGAAGATACGTGCTATTCTCAAACAAAGCAATACTCCGATTAGGTTGTTTATATAATTAGTGACTATATGTTTTCAAACATAATAATTAATACAGTAATATATAGCTGCATTATGGTTTTGCAGTCTATATCATTAGATATCATTAATATCATTAGATTTCATTGTAGTTGTAAATTTTTGGTATTTTAGAGCGGGTGAAAGGATAGTGTAGTTATGATGTTGTAGATTAGAATTCATTTTTGAGTTGCTTCATTTCACGTAGATATCATTATTCGATAGTTAGAAGACTGCAAGATACAAAAAGCAGTCAATTGACAATTGTAGATAAGATTGCAGTCGAGAAGGCTCCTGCAACGTCAAAATTATGTATTACTGGATTTCTTATTGTGTTTAAATTATACTTACGATTAGCTACAGAATATTATTAGGGTGGTATCAAATATAGGGTAAGTTACACAAATATATCGTATCAAAACTTATAAAGACGTTTAAGACGTCTAAGATCTTGAATGCCACCCAGAAATTAAATAATTATAATGGTAGAGCATTAAATGTATATTAGGATTGACGTTATTTTAAGATTACTTAGAGAATTCAGTTAGTAAATACACTTTAAATGTTCGGATTCATAGGTTCAAAATTATTTCCTTAAGTAGTTAATTTCTTACTGTTGAATTAAAATAGGTACAATAGACTAAGTATGGGTATATTCATTTAATTGTACAATAGTAAGAACTTCTAAGTCTCCAATGAGCCGCATATATACTTGTGAATCATTTTAATGTAAATTATATTGTAATCAATGTCTACTTTATTACAGTATATAACACAGTAATTAGGATGTAATTTAATTGCGCATGCATATTTGGTGTTGTAATTTTAAGCTGTATTAAGATCGCGCATCGTAAAGCTGCCTAGACAATAACCATACCTATGCACCTCTCTGTCACCTCTAGCTCTCGACCCGACCCCTATGATATTATTCACTTTAAACATAATATATTCAAAGAAAACAGGTAAGCTAAGGAAATTTAGGTTAAGTGCGTCCCTGCAAGAATATATTTCATTTTATAGAGTTAGAATTTAACATAAACTACTGTATTTTAATATTAATTAACATATGTAAAACGAAACACAAAGTTTTAATGGTGGGTTGTGTACAACGAAAGATAAAGAAAATTATGTAAAACTAAAGCTATATCTGGATAATGCGATCATTGGAGCTTCCGTTACACGTTGAGATACTGTTTTCAAGGTTACGTGTGCATGAAGTATCATCAAATTTATTTCTTTAAACAGCCTAGTTCACACAGTCTTTATTTCATCAATCATTTTGTAATAGTAAATCGTATTAAGAACATAGACCTAGTAGGTCTGTAATCTAAATATTGTTCTAAAGTTTGACTTAGGCATGTAATTGTCATTTAAAAGTTGTGGTAATATTGTATATGAAACTTTAAAAAACGATGTGAGTTTTGAATCGTGTCTCATAAATTATTTGATTAATATTAAAGAATAGCTTAATTTTGATGTAACGTCCTCTAGGTTACAAAAAGGAGCATGACAAATTAAAAGAACTAAAAACATCCGCTGTTTTAACTGAATCTCATCATGACGCCGCGCCCGCGCCTCACCGGCTCGCAGTGGCAACGTTGTCGGAAAATTGAATTCATTTTGAAACGCATGGCAGATAACTTCGACGAATACCCTATGCTGGTGACGCTGACGCATTTGCGAAATCTGTAATGAAACTTAGATACGAACGCCAACCATCGTTCTAGCTACGGCTTGACATTCATTATATGACCATATTATTACATAAAATGATGCTAGGGCCGTTCTTACATAATTTAAAAATACAGAACATATAATTAAAATAAATTCTCATATTTATAACTTTCAAAATATCACTAGACACAGCATATATATATACAATATACAGAATTTCTTATTGATCATGTTGCCGACGACGTCACCATGGCATGCTGGTAGGGTAATCAGTTTATTAATATAAATAATTGTGGTCCGATATACATTAAACAGATCTAACTTTTTCTTGTTTCGTGTGGTGTAACTGATAATGGTGTAACTGAATAAGGTACTTAAATCTTATATCAACTTCTATTATAAGATTATGTATGTATTATGTAAGCATGTCAAATTCATTTTAATGTATATTTTTTTACATTTTTCTAAACTTATGTTAACATTTTAATTGTATCTATTCTGATTAATAATTGGTATCTTAATAAATAATAGGATTCCCTGCAGAGGTCCGTTTATTTTATAACTTAAATAAAAATTCATCACTGGCGCCGAGTACAGTAAATTCAAATTCTTTAAATGCACAAAATTGTTAATCAAGACCCTCTTTTACAAATTATTAATCAAGGGGACTCTTTTGTGGAGTGTTGGGACCAATGATTCGCATGTACGAACAGTCTTTCTTGATTACATTGACTTAAGGAACATCTAAATGGCACAGAAAGTCTTGCAAAGATCTTTCTTCTCTAGTATTTAAAACTGTCAATGTTACCTTAGATATAGTTCGTATTTGGAGACAATATTCTGCTATAGGAACATCTTAGCTTGTTGTTTCGACTCAAGCATAATTATATATTGTAAGCTGGCAGAAATATAAGGCGTGATAACTGGCGAAGTTACGTTCATGGTAGTAAAGTAGGCTCTCTCATATAACCTTTTAACTAGCTGTGATCATTTATTTAGTCACCTAGCTTTTAATGAAATTAATTAGTCTATTTTTACATCGATTACCCCTCTCTTATATTTCATAATTAATTGTAAGTTAATTTTAAAATAAAACAAGATAATTTGTTTTTTTTTTACCCAATATCATAGATTTCCCTTTTATTCAATATTTCCTTTTTATAATAGTTTAACAAAAAAGAAGCGGGGAAAAGAATCATTCTTAGTATATC